AAAAAAACTGACTAAAACTCACAACAGCTGTACAGATTTAACTTTTTTTGGTGGCATTAGCCATCGAACAGGCTTTCATATGCAGTCAGCTGTGTGTTATTCCTGTGAGCTCTGACGTCTGAAGTGTAAGGTGGCGGGAAACACATTTATATCACATTACACTAAACGTGTGAATAATTTATTTGTAACCAAATCCTGACAAGGTTGGTCGTTTGATGTTGTTGTGGCATTATATACACCTCGATCGTCACTGGAAATAAATGCCTGGAAGGTTTTTCTTTGGAGATTCGCTGTTGTGCAGCTTTTCAGGCTTACACAACGCTTTGCCACAGCGGTTCATAGCTGTACTGTTTCCAGATTGGCACATTGCAGTGTGCGACCACTAGAGCGCAGCCTTAATGTGTCGAGAAGAGAGGAGGAGGGAGCAGCTCTTATGCATTTTATGGTGTAGAGATTTAAAAAAAAAAAAAAGACTCTTCCTTCTCCAAAATGTGTTCCCTTTTCTTTCTTTCTCAGCCTGTTACTGAAGGTGAGACAAACAAAGAAGTTAAAATCCACATTTTTGTTGTGATTTTCAAATTCAGTCGCATGGAAAATGTAAGTGCAACCCTACATCTATCACAGCTTCAAACCAATAAAACTAAACATTCCTCCCGGGGAGTAAAAAATGGAAAACGTCGCATTTAAATCTCTTAAAGTAAGGACGACTCGCTGGAAACTTTATTAAGTACACCCGTTCTTGTTGCTTGTTAACAATCGCCCAATCATGTGGCAGCAACTTGCACGTAGACATGCTCAAGGCAACCCGCTGAAGTTGAAACTGAACACCAGAATGGGGAAGAAAGACAGGCTGGTGTTTCAGAATCTCCTAGTGTGCTGGGATTTTCCATTTCTAAGGTTTACAGAGAATGATCCAGAGAAAAGGAAATGTCCAGTGAGTGGTAGCTCTCTGGGAGAATGGCCAGAGAGCTATTAAAGCTGGTAGGATGGCAACAGTATCACAAATAACCGCTCATGTCAACCATGGACCCTTTTCTGGAGAAATGTGATCAATAGATCTACCAGCATCAATCTAACATCCGTTCTTTAGCTCAGGATACAATGGAGTCTCCCAGAAACACAGTTCACTTAGAGCCCTTCAGCACAGTATAAATGAAGCCCTTTTCATGTGGCTTCAATATCCTGCGAGTTAGAGTCCATAAGTTAGTTCATGAATCCATCAGCCTACGTGTCCTATCTGTAATTAATTCTTCACTTCTGACTGTTGCTGTCTGATTTAAACCAATCTACAGTTGTACAATCTTTTATTGGGGAAGAAAAACCCCTCTGGACTTTTCACTTCTCTTGATTTCTTTCTCTCCAAGGCTTTAGAAATGATCGGTGCTGAACAGTCGATTGCTTTTTTAAACAGAAAGGAATCAGAGTGCTGAATGATCTTCTGATTAGTCGTCTTTTTAGTGTTATTAGATTTGAGTGCCCGCATTTGACAACGTGGATCGCTTTATTTCTCTGAAGCATCTCAAATTTCTGGTTCAATATTAAGGTGGATTTATTCTTATTCACAGGAAAGGTCTTTTACTGTAGTCACTTGGACATGAAGTCACCATCAATGACCTACAGCCAACCCAATCTCACTATTGAGGTGATGAGCTCACTGTCATACATCATTCTAACAAATCCTTCTTAAAGACATATTTTTATGAGCAGGTCTTTTCTGTCTCATTTCACTGTTGTCCTTTATAAGCATCTTTTCCTGGTGTTCATTTTTAGATGTACTTAAATAGTTTGAATTTATTCTACATTTTATTTATTCCTCGCTTTTAATCTTGTCAGAATTATCATACCTAATATTTTAGTTTTCTCTGATGTTTGCAAGACAACAATACTGCATAAGTATTTATTGGCGTCTGATGGCTGCAAAGCACCACGTAGCAAAGCTCAGATCATCTCAAATTGTCTTTGGAGTGCGGGAGAAGGCCGGCGAGAACAAGGAAACTCCTCACAGAAACGCCCCAGAGAGGTGGTGGATTTGAATCCAGGACCTTCTTTCTATGAGACAACAGTGCTCAGCACCTGCTGAATCCATGTCATGAATACTTGCTGAAGGTAAAAGGGGATCTAACCTGATAGTAGTGAGGTGTATCTAATAAAGTGTCCAGTTAATGTCTTATTGTCAATTCTTTTGGTTGCAGTGATTATCTAATGATGCAACGAGGTAATTCTTACCGAACCTTCTAAACTTTTTGAGCCGGAAGTGAGAATTTAACCGTAAGAATTTAATTGGTTAAAGTTGCATAACCAAGCTGGTCAAACTGCCTAAAAAGGGTTGGCACCTGGCATAACTCATAAAGACTGCATTGTTGACATAGTTACGTGAGTCACCGATGACTCATGGAAAAAACAAAAATGTGCTTCAGTTGCCTCCAAGACAGCCAACTCACATGGACATTTTTCTATGAAAACCAAGAAGTGCACAAGACAGAGACGTTAAATCAGGTGTGATCATCAATCACTTTTATTTTAAAAAAAGAAAACAAACAAACACTGAAAATACAGCTAAATTTATACATGGCAGCGATATGTACAGGATATAAAAGAAATATTTTGCTGCTGTTAATGATCCAGCAGTGAGAGAGGGGATGATTGTTTTTCCTTTTGTGAAAGGCACAGGAGCTCGCTGTAAAGAACAGAGTGACACGAGGCACAGCCGCGTCACAAAAAAAATACTACCGGCAAGCAGCATTAAAATGTAGAGAGGGGTTTACACTGAAAGTACTGACTCTCTTAGCAGCCGCAGCGCCTTCCACAGGCTGACAGATGGGTTTTTATTTTTCCAGGCACCAGTTTATACTTCAGTAACATCTAAAAATCCAAATCTACTCCCCTCTCCACTAATTTTCAAGTTCTGTCATGTCTTATGGGAAAGCGTCTGCTGGGACCATTTTATCTGAAGAAAGCAGGGATTTTTTCCCCCCTCCATGTGGCTTCCAGCAGCATGAGCATCAAGTGTTTGTAAAATGCCTTCAAGTGTCATTCCAAACCCTCACCGTATCAAATTATAATTGGTCATATTTTAGAGAAACTATTCATATAATTTACAGCATTATACAAATAAAGATACAGTTTTAAACAAATACTGTACACTCTACAGTAAAGCACTTTACTAGGACCCCCCCCCCCAAAAAAAACAACAACAAACAAATACTTTTGACAATAAGTTACTGACTATTGACATGGGCAAAAATAGGTTTGAAACATAATTTATAGACCAGCTTTAAGGGGTCACTCCTTGTTTCTGGAAAACGCACGGGTCCCAAAAACTAGATCATTTGGTCGGCAAGTACAATTAAAATCATGTGGCGATTGACGACATTTTTTTCAACAAAGACAAAGAAAAAACCCCAACCAAACAAAATAAAACAAAGCCCCCAGGGATCGGCACTCTAAACTGTACATGTAATGATTAAAATACGTTAACATCTAAAAAGCAGACTGACTGATTAAAGTTTATATGAAAAGGAAAAAAAGAGAAAGCAAACAATACTATAAACATTCAAATATTAACATTTTATACCAAGGAAGAAAAAAAATGCAGTAAAATTGAAGTTTAAAATAATAAATGTGATGAGTACTCAACAGACAAAGCTGCCAAGAACAAGTTTCAATTGAAACTAAACAAGAACCTTTGTGAAAAAAAGGAAACAAGAATACTTATTTTTCACAAGGAAGTAGAAAGCAAAAGAAAGGTGACAAGATAAAAAAAATGTGTTATAGTAGTGATTGGATATGGGTCCTTTATCAGAAAACAACCCCAGCTCCCAGACACCAAAATACTCGCAGTATCCATCCATCGCAGGATCGGACAACGAAGGTAAGAGGCACACGGGGCAGTTCTGTCAGGAAGTCTACGCAGATCATTTAAAATTCATAGAGAGCTTTCCATGACACTGAAAAAAGCTCTTGGGCGGGAAAACAGACATTTGTAACCAAACACATAGATGATGGGGTATCCTCCTCTAAATACCAGAAAACAGAAGGAAAGACGAAACAAAAATCTCACAACTCCTGCTTTCCTTTGTTATCTTGACTTTACATTCTCTTTGCTTATAACCTGTATTTACCAGGTTAAAAAGGCCTCAAAATGTGTAAAAATGCAGTCTACATGCAAACCCCCCCCCCAAAAAAAATTTCTAAAATAACATAAAACGGGCGCAGTTAACCGATTCCACAATGATTTCGTGTACACATGCTGTAAGGTGGGTCTCTGGGAGTTGGGGTTGGGGCCAACAAGGGCGGTAGTGTCTTTACGAACTCCTTAAAATCTGTAAAGCATGTACTATAACTCCAACACTGAGCTGCACAGTGAGTAAGATGGCATCCGTCGCGTGCTGCTGACCTAAATGCACCGATGCAAACAAGCAGGGAAGGTGAACTCTACAGAAAGATGGTTAACGGACAGATGCATCTGCACCTTCTGCTTATTTGTTTTTTTTAAAAAAGCGAAAAAAGGAAAAGAAAAGGTGAAGTGTAGCTGACAGTTGTAAACTGACTGGCTTAAGTCATAATTCATAGTGATTTACACTGTGGTTCTTTGTGGCCGGATTTGGGGGGGGGGGTTGGAGTAACGGAAAAGGAAGCAAACATGAGAAGTGTAACATTCTTCCAGTTTACGGCTTCTGATAACTTAAAAACATGAACTCATAGGTGTTTGTTGGGTCCATTCGAAGCATTTTCTCAAAAATGTCTCCAGAGGGCTAAGGCTAAGGAGAAATGGGTTAGAACGGGCACGTAGTGAGAAGTGGCTCCGCGTGTCTAACCATCAAGTTAAATCAGCCTCTAAAAATCAGAGGTAAGATGTGTGTCGCATTTTCTTGCCTCTCCTCCTTCAAACCCAGGGCAGTGTTCCAAGCCGCCTACACTGCAACATTTGGCGGTAACCACGTGGCCAAAAATGAGTGTGGAAGCTCTGCAACGCTCCCCCAGGTCTGTGCCAGTCTGCATCAAGGGCTGCTGCCTGCTTCCACGTCACTGTTGGGAGCACCCTTGTAAATTGGGGCATTGTTCTCCACGGGGAGCTCATATTTGCGTGGGGGTGGCTTGTTGCCGCTTTCGTTGCTGTTTTTAATGCCATAGAAGAAGTAAATGGCAAAACCTGAAGAGGGAAGAAGAAGAAGAAGAAGAGGCGGATGGAAGTTATAAAATGGGCACATTAATGTGGAGCAATAGAAGTAAGGACAGGATGTGTAGTGCTCGAACGTACCCAAAGCCATCCAGACGGTGAAGCGGCACCATGTACCCAAGTCCAGCTGCATCATGAGGTAGATGTTGACGAAAACACTGAACAGGGGCAACCAGGGAAGAAGAGGAACCTTAAAGAGACAGAGGCCAAACTTAAGACGCTTTCTCAAATAACATCGTAACAACATGTGCCAAAGGCGTCCAGTCAGTCTCAGAAACAACAACGTCCTGTGCTTCCAAAAAATGGAAAGTTACCTTGAAGGTGAGAGCCTCTTTGCTCTCTGGCTGCCTCCAGATGATGATCACGCAGACGGCACAGAGCAGAGCTAAAATAATGCACGGCGCCACCACACCCGAATATCCAGCGAGCAGCTCTGGCAAACAGTTGGCCAGGATGACGCACAGGACAGTCATCAAAATCGCTGCAGGGAGAGCAGGAGATGAAGTTACTTACACTGGTTACTTCACCCAGTTTATTCTGATCTAAATCAGATGATGAGTTTGTAAGCTTGTAGCTTTCCCATGCGATTTGGTTTGTTTTCACACAGAGAAAAATCTCAGCAAACTCCAAGCGAACCAAAATGCATCACTACAAACCACGTGAGTGTTCAGATAGCTCATTGTGTCCGTGCTCCGGACTGTGACAACATGGAGAACTTTATGTTCATTTCACAGCTAGCTGCTAGCCCGCACAGACTTTTAGAGATCTGTAGCACCTTCCCGCATTGAGAATACAAAGCATATGTGGCTATGGGGCGTTCTGTTAGGTAGTAGGTTTGGATCACATTCATGAACTGAAAACAGCGGGTTTGAAACCACCCTAAAAACTCCAAAGGAAAGCATACATTTCATCACACTTGATTGTTTTAGCCTTCTCGCTCACACACTTACAGATGACAGCAGTTGTAGCGTAGACAATGTTCCCAGACAGGACTGTGGGGATCTTTCCACTTGGGCAGAAGAGCAGCTTGAAGCTGAATGTCTCTTTTAGTGGCCTCTGATCCATCTCCATGTCATATTCATCGCCACTCTCCCCTCCACTCACAGGCATCTTCTCCGATTCCTCCATAAGCTTCTCCAGCTGGCTGGGTGAATTTAGGGTACCTGGCTGATACCTAGAAGCATGAATGAGAGACTTAACATAGACGTCACACACAACTGCTTCTGCTACTTTAAATATATTGCTTCCTGTTTATTGCTACTATGAAAATGAGCCCACAGCCAAGTGAGAGGCAGTAAAGCTTCCTTGCCTTCACCCTTGTTCTTTGGCTTGACACGGATTATGATATAACTGTGCTTTTAAACTTATGGGTGCTTGCCAATGGCATTAGTGCATCAGCTGCTACAGAGTATTTAACACATGATTACCACTTCACAAGCCTCTGCGTAAATTTGATGGTGGAGAATAAAGGTGCTTACCTGAGAATGAGGACGCAGATGGCCACTAAAGAGTACGCCAAAAGGGTTCCAATGGACATGAGATCCACCAGAGCTGCCAGGTCGAACAGAAAGGCCATCAGAGCTGGAAGGAGAAGTAAGACCAGATCTTAGACAGCTGCAGGCACCAAAAATATCAGTATTTGCAAAACTAGTATTGATCTTGACATGTCAGCCTGTGAGATAGGCTGCTAGACAGAGCTGAGGCAGCAGGAAGCTCTGTGAACTTGGAAAACAAGCAACAGATACTACTGGTAACAGGAGATTGATACCAGCAGTATCTGTACATTGATACAGCAAACAAAGAAACAAAACAAACAAATCTGCGTGTCCAAAACATGAAGAGAAATATGCCCAAACATAAATGTCTCTGAAAGTTGTATCTTTATCTTACCTGCAACAATACCAGAAACAATGGTAGCCAGGACAGGGGTCTTTGTGCGAGCGCTCATCTTAGACAGAAATCGGAACAGCAGCCCATCCTCTGCCATGGCGTAAATAACACGGGGCATAGGGAACATGGAGCCCAAGAGGCTGGGGGAGGATTGGAAGTTTGCATTAACATTTTACAGTCATGTGAACATAAACATGTTAGATGTTTTGGGTTATCCCTTCCTCACCTGGTGGACAGAGCACAGAGAGAACCGACAGCCACGATGTATCGAGCAGGACCCCAGCCGACAAAGCTGAAGGCCTCGGGCAGAGGACTCTGAGTGTTCAGCTGGTAGTATGGCATCATCATGGTGAGAGCGGCAGACACGCCGAAGTAGGCGAAAAAGCAGATGAGCAGCGAGGCCACGATGCCAATAGGTATGGAGCGCATGGGGTTCTTTGCCTCTTCGCCTGAGGACAGCGGGGAACACAAAGCAAGAGAAAGATGAGCGGAATCCCACTGGTGCGCCTAAATAACCCTTGAACGTCTTGACACGGTGGGTGACACCGCTCACATTTCACTGAAAGTTGCATCAGCTGAGAATTAAAAGATAAGAAAAAGAACATCCTTGATAGACTAAACAAAAACAAATAAATAAAAGACTTTTAAAAGCTGATTATGTTAGCGTGTGCTATCCAAGGGCGGGGTTTTCCCCACACACCAGAGTTCCTGGCCTTACAAAGGAAAAGTTTTATGTAACGCAACACTCTTCATAACCATCGAAACTACTTACTTGTTGTGGCAATGCAGTCAAAGCCCACAAAGGCATAGAAGCACGTGGCTGCACCGGACAAAACTCCGTTAAGTCCAAATGGGGCAAATCCACCAGTGCCGTATTCGTTCTCCAACCTGGGAGGCAGATGAAGAGAAACATGAAGTTAAACAATAAAAGAGGATTGGATCAGAGAAGTAAATCAGCCATCAAACACTCACTTCAGCGCCCTGCTGCCATTGGTGCTGTTTATGAATTCCCTGTAGTCGTTCTCTGTGAGGTGCCAGTTATTAGTGTCCCCTTTAACGAAGCCGGAGATAATAACGAACCCCAAAACCACCAGATTGATCCCAGTGAAGATTTTGTTCACGAGAGCCGACTCACTCACGCCAAAGGCCAGAAGTCCTGAGGGCAGGAAGTAGACGGAGACAAGAGAGAAGCTTCAACAACACATCCTGCTACGTGGGTGGACATTTTCATACTTCACTTCCAACAAACCATCAGTCAGCGACACCAATTCATTCTAACACTGCTACTGGCAGGCCACACTAGCTGTGATGTTAGTGTGAAAACTGTTGTCTGTTGTGCAATGATTTGGATGCAATGATTGCAATCGGCTACTTTAGCGCGGTGTGCAACGACCAAGCTGACAGCCTAATTTTAAATGAGAAAAGTACTCGATATTGGAGGTTTCAGTGGGTCATCTTTGGAAGAATAAACACACTTGTATCCATTAAAATGCTACTAACAGTAAGGGTCTGATGCTCAAACAGCTTCATGAGTTTAAAGCAGTTAAAATGAAGGCGGATAGCCCTTTATTGGACTGCTCAAGTTTTTTTATATCCCAAAAACATCCTTATTATTGAGCAAGTTATCCCCTCATAGCACTAAGAATAAGCAGACTCACCAGTGAGCAGCAGCACCAGGATGAGGGCGAACAGGTCCGGGTACTCTGCCAGCACCTCGCCTGGCACCTTCATTGCCATGGAGGCTTTAAAGAAGCCCGAGATCTTTTGTTCCACCAGGTTGTCAAAGGTTGAACTCCAAGCCCGGGCCACACTGGCTGTACCTAAAAGAAGGAAAAAAAAAAAATACCAGACATTATTTAAGAATATGGTGACAAGATATGACTCCTAATGTGTGGATTTCTACGGCACATCTCAGTCTAGTGAAACTGAGGCTCACCTATGACATAAGACAAGATGAGATTCCATCCTGTTATGAAGGCCCAGATTTCTCCGACTGTCACATAGCTGTACAGGTATGCGGAGCCCGTCTTAGGGACACGGGCGCCAAATTCGGCGTAGCACAGGCCGGCCAGCATGGAGGACAGAGCGGCGATGAGGAAGCAGAGCACGATGGCGGGTCCCGCCTTGTCTCGCGCGACCTCACCAGCGAGGACGTAGACACCAGCACCCAGCGTGGAGCCCACTCCCAAGGCAATGAGGTCCAGGGTGGACAAGCAGCGGGCGAACTGGGTCTCTACACTTGACAAGTCTAGTTTCCTGCGACGCAGCAGGATTTTTCCAAAGGTGGACAGATGGCTGGTCATGTTTGCTGTGACTGTGTGTGGGCGCAGAAGCAGGCTATGCGTTTTAAATCCTTCTAGTGTGAGTGCGTGTGTGTGTGATTGACACAGCTTAAACAGAACACGTGTGACCGGCAGGTACAGGAGAAGTTTGGACAGATGGGATGGGTAAGTTACTCGTCAAGTATTGCTCCCTTCGTGTTCGTATCAGCCAGGCCACAGTCGCTTCACAGAGATCAGGAAGTAGCAAAGGCTGTGGTCACAGAATTTTGCAGCAGCAGCAGATTACCTGTGAGGAAACACAAGAAAACAAGAGCTCAAAACAGGGCGCTATTCAGTACGAGCCAGAGCTTACACTTCTTACAGCTTCTTGTGCTTGGCATGGTGCAGAGGGATTATGAAAACCTCGCTTTTTCCAAGTAGCAAAGTTTTTTTTTTTCCAGGAAAGTGTTCAAACTGGCGGAGAATATATCAAATCTTGCAACACAATCGCTCCCAGCTGGGCTACACAAATAAATTGTATCATATGCAATGTCTCGGCAGGTTTTTAGGTGTGTTTCAAGTGAACCGAGGTAGCCCCGGTGATGTTGCAAACTGCACTGGAATACTACCACCTTTTAAAGCATAGTTACACATCACGAGACACAGTGGGACGCAAAGGAACCATGAAGACAAAAGAAATCCGAGCGTTATCCTGTTAGGCTTTAATCAAATCTCAAGTTTGCCTGGACAAATAAACTCTGGGGCGATCGTGGCTCAAGAGTTGGGAGTTCGCCTTGTAATCGGAAGGTTGCCGGTTCGAGCCCCGGCTCGGACAGTCTCGGTCGTTGTGTCCTTGGGCAAGACACTTCACCTACTGCCTACTGGTGTTGGCCAGAAGGGCCGATGGCGCGATATGGCAGCCTCGCTTCTGTCAGTCTGCCCCAGGGCAGCTGTGGCTACAACTGTAGCTTGCCTCCACCAGTGTGTGAATGTGAGAGTGAATGGGTGGATGACTGGACGTGTAAAAGCGCTTTGGGGTCCCTAGGCGGGACTAGTAAAAGCGCTATACAAATACAGGCCATTTACCATTTACCTTCCATGGTACACACCCCTAAAAATAATACATTTTTTCGATACAACACCTAACCGTATTCCTCACCACTCCCTTACTGCGAGAAAATATGTCAACTAGCAGCTAGAGGTAGACGGGGAAACGCCTGGGAAAGTGTGTGCAGTGGTGATGGGGGTTGGTCAAACGGAGGACTACTGCTACATAGGTTCCAGCACAACCTCGTGACAGTGCCAGTTCACTAATCAGAATGTAATACACTGTTTTCACTGTCACATGCATTATCAGTGATCTGATTGAGGAAAAAAATAACACAATGAACCACCCCGAAGGACAGCAGCAACACATTTTGTGACAGTTGTGGGTTGATTTGCCAAGATCTCACAGGGTGAAAGATAACCATTACACCAGTTTCTTCGACAAACAAAAGCAGCTTCATAACATGCCAAGGACACTTTATGCAACATGTAACCTAAACAGACACTGTTTTTCTGTTTGTCTGAGGGGGACTGGACACATTTGTATTGGCAGAAGCAGGAGTGACGTCAATAACTGAGTGAATGTAACTAAAAATCTGGGGTTACTGACACGTGTACGTGTGTCAAAAAAAGTGAGTGAAGGTAATTGGCCGAGACCTCCAGTTCAACAACCTTTTGTACACTGTGTGTACAAGCAACACCCTGAACACTCCCAAAAAATGTTGCCTGACCACCTTCAGTCTTATTTAGATTATTCAGAGTTCTCATACTGCCGTTTGAGTGGTAAGTCTTGCTTTGTAAAAGTAGCTGTATTGGTAGTAGCAGCAGTAGTAGTAATTTGATTATCTAAATAAGATGTCTTTTAATCCAAATGGAAAGCAGAAGAGAGAGAAACCCATGTGCTTAAAAACTGGTTAGACTGGTTTTGGCTTTACGCAGCACTAACAAAATGCTAAATGTCAGTCTTGCAGCTCTTGCTGAGATTAAAACCAAAATAAACTGATCGCCAGCAGCCAGAACTCACTGTCGTGCTGCTAACTCATGCAAGCTTTTCAGAAGTAACGTGTCACTTTGTGGGGTTAAAGCTGTTAGATGTCCACAGAAAAGCTACACGGAGACCAGAGATTTGAAAATCGAGAAGGGTGTGTGACAGAACGGCGGAGTGTGACTTGCAGGAAGTAGCAATCACACATTTGTCTTGTCTAAAATGGCTCAATACATCATGTCGTTGTGTTGTTTTTACACCCCTTTTTCCCCGTGGACGTGGTTTCTGCAGCGTCACTGAGATTACAAAGAAATATTAAACTTTACATGTTAGATGTACTCATTCTCTGTTATTTACAGTAAACAGTCTTGTACGCACATGCAGGTCCACGAGGCAAAAACATGCTCAGAGCAATAAGAACACTGTAAACGTTTATCTTATCAGCAAAATACTACACTTGGTTGTATGGTCCAGTATATTATTTTGCTGAAATGTTCATGGTTAACCATCAACCAAGGTGAATGATATTGCATCATGAGGCATATCTACTTATCCAAAAGAACAGAAAATACAAAAACATTGAGCTTTTTGGTGATTAAAAGCTCACACAACTCATTAGGGCAGGGTTTGACAAATTTAAGTCCAGCACTGGGCCCACAGGCCGCACCTTTAAACTATAAGATTTGACAAACAATAATCAAGAACAATCAATGAAACATTCTTTCTTGGTGTGCAACTGATCTGCAGTTTCTCCAAGAGAAGGACTGAAGTCAGGATGTTGAGGGCGGAGCAGCGTTAAAAGCTACGCGTCTGAGGCTATTACTGCAACGACACCCGATTCTTTCCCATGTCAGGCCTTTCAGTTACTTCAGAGATCAGTCTACAAAGAGGAGGAGGAGAAGTGAAATCCTAACCCAGCGGCAAAGATCGGACTGAATCAGCGGCACAGCGAGGACGGCCACATCAAAAACGCCCTTTAATGCCTATTAAGTGTGTAAAAAACTGAAGAAGAAGGGCCACACAGTACCATTTTGAGCAGTGCTGTTTAAGTGTTTTTGTCCTGCACCTTCTGTCTAATGAGCTTCAGGGATAAAATACATAAATAAAAATAGGAAAAAAAGTCCCCTGCTCACATCATGAATGTATTAAAATCTCTACTGCTTTCACACATTAGGGTGAAGTTCTCAGAGTGAAATTGAATCCATGCTGAGAACGTGACCACTAGAAACTAAAAGAAAAGAGAAAAAACAGAAAAAAAAAACCCCAGACATCAATGGGAAGCTTCTGAAAAACTGCAGATGCTCAAAAGAAAAAAAAAAATCAAAAATATGACTCGAGAAAAAGGAGAATCGAGAACTATGGCATGTACAGTGGACTTTTGAGGCTTGGGCTTCTTTATCTTTCTGCCTTGAGAACTTATTTCAGGTGTATAATTTCATAAAAATGAAAGCAATGTACATTCAGCTGTGGCGGCATTATGATCCAATTTTAGTCTTTTTCCTTTTCCCCAGCTCCCACGATGTTTCAGCACAATGACAATATTCTATTAATACTGCAAAAACAACAGAAACGGACTATCAAAGCATTTCTAGGCTTACTATTTCAAAAGAGAATATCCTGTCTGGTACAGTTAAGTGTCGGGAGAAAAAACTCAAAACACTGTCAAACAATGAAATAAAAACAACACAGAGAGCACCTGACGACTGCCATAATAAACACTCTCCCCTCTGAAGACTGATGGGAAACTGGTACATGGTGGAAATGCTCCCGCTCCCCACTTGGTGTGACATTCCAGCAGCATTTCCCACTCGCACACCAGGAACTGAGATCTAAGGTGGTCGGTGTCCTGTCAATAAACATTTATTACCAAACTACTGTGCCCGACCGGCCTTAGATCTCCTCGGGGGTTCACCCAACGCTACACGGGACCCTTCAGTGGGGACAATGGCAACCGTGCAAAAGGGAATGATTTTTCTTCTTTTTAGGACACACATACACATACATGTACGCTCTTACTGTTTGAGCATAATTAAGGGTGGTCTCATTAAAGCGAGCCACCATAGCCCCGGATGCCACCTCTGTCACGTCAGCTTGTTGCTAATCTTTCCCTTGTGGTTTTCACGAGGGTGCCCGTTTGTGCAAGTGGGGCAGGTTGTGTGGAGGTGTGGCTCACAAATGTACCCTCTGCATGTTCCACTAGCCCACACACGCCTGTTTGAAAGACTAACGTTATAACCAGCAGGGGTTTTTTCCTCCCTTTTCCGTCTCCCCCCCCCCATGCTCCTGCTATTAAAGTGAAAACACAAGCCTTTCACTGGAAAGCCAAAGATGATGCGTGAATCTTGTTGCCAAGATCACTTCTGTGTTTGTTATTTCTTTTTTTAAACTAAGCTTGAGCACTGTTGTTGTTTTTTTGAGGACCAAACTAAAAGGCTCTTTATGCTGGGGGACTATGACCAGCAGCAGCTGGGCCAACAACGGTCCGGTTACAACAGGCTTCAGGGATAATAGTCCTGTTACTTGACTTAGCATTGGCGCAAGTGCTTCCAAGGACTAAGAGGATTATTTGAAGTAGTAACAAACCTGCTAACCTCATTACAACCTGTTGCTGCTCCTTATTCTATCCTCATGAGCAACACATGGCTTTGTTTTGACTGCCACTGTTGACAAATAACCACTGCTGCTGATAGTGATACCGAGTCAAGCTGTGTCTTCACTCTATGCTGCTCACTAGTTTGTGAAATCCACTGCTGGATTTATATAGCAAAATATTGCCAAAATAATCCACATATTTTGTGTTACTCCCTAAATATCAACTGCAGTTAATCTGTGGGGTGCAGCAGTTGAACAAACACCAAGTTCAGCTCCCTGCAAAGTGGGGCCGGATCTATTTGGAGTGTACATTGCATCGCGGCTTGCTCTACATCCTCTCAAACACGACACAGTGTTTTTATTTCCCGGCTGTTTGAAGCCAGGAACAGTACATTTAGACTCCAGGACAATAAGGATGATATGAGGTGCACAGCGGGTTAACAAAAAGGCCGAGTGAAGAAAGACAAACCATGGAGACTGAACTGAACGACCCCACAGATCACCTGGCGGGGAGACCACCCCTCTTGCCAAAAACCGGACTCGCTGTGAAATGGAATGTGACAAACCGAGAGCCTGCCCGCTTTCCCATGACCACTGCCAACACCATTAACATCATCAGATATGACAAGAGCAGGACAAAACTACCAATTTGTCACACATTCACGCCGAAATGTGCCGCATTGTAGCACAACAGACGTGCAATCTTTCTTGAGTTTACAGCATTTGCACCCCCCACCCCCTTTCCCTGTTATTGAATGTTTTGATTTAACCATAGTCAAAATGTTCCCAGAACATGTCACATGAGCATGAAGACCATTTGATGTGGACTAGCACACACCCTTCCTGCAATGACACACACACGTGCACACAAAATTTGTGCTTCACTTCAATTTATGAGCATTTCATTCAACCAACCAATAATGAGAGAAATCATTCACTCTGACTAGTACAGCTTCACACTGCTGCAGTTTATCGGGTACACCCTGCTGTAAATCACAGCTCTGATGGGTTTTGTTGACTCTGAGAAATATTAGTAATATTTAGTTTGATGCAAATGGCGTGAACAAAACAAACAGAAGGAAGCGTCCCACAGAAACTGGACGGATACCTCTGAAAAACAACATTGAGCTGTAAGATTTGTGTTGCTATCCAATTCAATTCAATTTCTTTATTGTCCCACAAGGGGAAATTAGTTTAGCAGCAGGATAAAAAAAATAATGTGTCGTTATTATATTATTATACTAAGAAATGGCGACTTTGTTTTGTTTTTTCAAAACCGAATTTCCGCAATTTCCGCGGTCTCCTGATTTTTTTTTTTTTTTGCCCCTAAAGTAACGTGGCATTCTGGTACAAGGTTATACAACCTCTGCACCTGATCCCTTGAAACCACAATAACGCAGTCAAGCAGGTGTGAATACTCTCGACACACACTCTTATCTAACTCTACACCCTTGTCTCCAATACAATTAATGCAGTTGATCATTAGTTACTCCAGCTAAAGCTTGGCTTTCAACTGGCTGATGCAACACAAATGGCACACCTTCCCGAGGTGTCATTCTCCGGAAGGAGAACGTCTCTCCCTTTGCCATTCGCGCACGAGGTTACCAGAAAAAAAAAAACCCCAATAAAATCACGAGTTTAAAATAGTTTTACCCACGAGCAGTGCCGACGTTGTTCAGCTGTCCATATGGATAAAATACCCCATCTGTCAAGCGACCGAAACACCACTGACCTACCTACGTGGCGGGGAAGCTCTCGTGTGGTGCCAGCGTTGCTTTCAACAATATAGGAAGTGCAGCAATTGGCTTTAATACATTTCATACCTGACGCAAGAAAGCGGGAAATTGCGGTGGTTTTAACGTTGGTGATCTTTTTAGGTGCGGCGTTAGGACTCAGGCTTGGATTTAACAATCTTCTGGATAACGTTTGCACATAAAAGTAAATGTTGCATTGGTATTCAGTGATTAGGCTTTACAAAACAAAATCTTACAAATCGAGTTCTTGCAGTGGCTCTGGTTGGGTATGCTCAGTTTAAATATGCACGTAAAATAGCCAAGTTGTTATTATTATTTTTAAAGATTCGTGTTCTTTGAGAACAATGCATGCGATTCTCAAAAATTCGGCGCTACGGGGGTCTTTAAAGGCACCATTTACGGTCATCCCACGCCTCTGTAGCACGCTAGTAGCACGGCGTGCTAGCCCACCACGACCAAAACAATGAATGAAAACCACGATTAATAACACGGATAAGCGTCCGAGTGTGCTGAAAAGAAGATGGAAACAAATTAAACACATTTTCCACAATGGTCGCCTTTCATTAAGTTTCTTGTTTCTGCTCAGTTTTCCGGGTAACGTTACCGGCAGACAGCTGACTCCCCGCTCAAATGACAAATTAAAGCGGAAAGTACAGTGAATAACCGGGACACTTTTTTCACGCTCGGTTAGAGAAAAAACACATTGAAATATTTGACTTTAAAACATAATAAAGCTGCTCAAGAACAGTGTCGTCCTGCTCTTGTCCAACATTGCGCCAATTACATCCGACAACACACGAGGAGGATTGCATCAGTTTACTATATCGTAAGTACAAGCTCGAATGTAGATAGAAAAATGTCACTACAGCACATCTTAGATTAAAAACGCGTTTCTGTTGTGTTAAATAAAAGCCGATGTCGTTACCTTTAATGTCTTCTGGTGGTTTTAAAGTGAGTGGAGAGAGGAAGAAAGACGACAGATAGGAGCGCTGGTGTCGGAGCAGATGATGAAACTACCCGCTCTCTGATGCGGTTTTTACCAGTCGCGAGAGGATGTGTACAAGTGACGTCATCACAAGGTGGAGCTTTCCACTCATGAATGGAAGTTAGAAGCCTGTAATTTCTGAAAAGGCAGTAGTGAAGTAATCTTTATATATTAATGTATATTGTATACTTTGATATACTTTATGTCGCCTACAAGTGCTTTACAGACCAAATTCGGGATGAACAGAGAGACTGTATATGAGCGCATGCTGTAGTAGCGATGCCCATATTTGGATCCCCTCGTGGAAAGCTATGTATAGGCTGTGACTCCGATCGTGCACTATATCCGCTGCTGCTTTGTTTCGCAGATTAAAAGAAAAAAGGTGGGAAATATAAACAATTTCTTTCATGTGTATGTGCACTTGGTGACCTGCGCATTCTTGAAGGTCAATGGTGTCAAATAAAGTAATTTCAGCTCGAGCTGCTCTTATAATACACACTTATTTAGGTTTAATTATGCAATAATAATAAAAAAAAATGTCATATCACATGTGGCCTGATGAAATTCAAATAATCAAATTATGTATCTCTGATAGTCTGTTCGCTGCCTCTTTGCAGGGTGTGTGTGTGTGTTCAGATAATCAAATTATGTTTCTCTGATAGTCTGTTCGCTGCCTCTTTGCAGCGTGTGTGTGTGTGCACTGCAGTTTACAGTGTGTAGCTGCATGGATGAGTGCTGGTCTGTGTGGCATCATCTGTGACGTCTGATGCAACGTGAAGACCGAGTGGCATCAGAATTAAAGAAATGCCTCGCAGAGTGAACAAAATTGCTGAGTGGTAGCTTTGAAAAAGTATAGAAGATAGCTCAGTATTGCATCAGGCGGACTTTACAGTATAATACTGATCTTAGGAATGGCACATAAGCAAAATATTTCCACTGCTGTGACACATGTTTACATCCTAACCCACTTCTTGGACACGAATGTCATGGTAACTTGGGGCTTTTAAGTATTTTTTTTATAATTTGTTTTGTTTTCTTGTTAATTGATCTTTTTTCACAGTGATTGTACAATATACAAATTTTAAAAATAGGAACGTTGTCTTTTAACTTGACAATGGCAAAGCCTGTTCTCATTGGTGAGGAAAGACTTTGTCAGCAGATTCTAAACAACTGCAGATTCAAAGATCATCAGTTCAAACCAATCTAAGTGTGAGATATTTAGATGTGTCACCACTGTGTTAAGATCTGGAAGAAGACCCAAACAGTGACCCTCAGATGAGAGGAAATCGATTAGGATGTTCAGAAACAACCCAAGAACCACCAAGGCTCAAGTCTGCCATTATCTGGAAACTGTTGGAACAGCAGCATCACTGTTCACAGTGAAGTGTATTTTGTAACACCAGGGGCTGAGAGGGTGCCGACCAATAAGAAGACTCACTCCAAAATTAGAATTTTCAACTTCAAGTGAAATTTCTGTCTGCCCGCATGAACAAGCCAAATGTCCTCTGGAGAAAAGTTTTATGGTCAAATGAGACAAAGATTGAGCTGTTCACAATGAAAAGAAGTATGTTTGGAGGAGTAAAGGTAAGGCTTTCAAACCTAAGAACACTGTACAAACTGTGAAGAACGTTGGTGGTAGCATCATGCTCGGGGCCTGTGTTGCTGCCAGAGGTACTGGTACACTGCGCAAAGTGGATTGATTAATGAAGAAGGAGGACAACCTCCAAATTCTTTCCTTAACGTCAAATCAGCAGCTAGATAGCTGAAACTTAGACACAACTGGATGTTCCAACAGGACAGTTTTTTTGAATGGATAAAACAGGCTAATATTAAGCTTCTGTAATGGCCTTCCCAAAAGCCTCAGCCTCCACCCTGTGGCTTAAAAGCCGGGTCAGTGCCCAAAAAACAGCCGATTTAAATGAACTTAAAATTAACCAATGTTGCAAAGAAAACCTGTCAAACATCGAGCCGGAATTATGTCAGAAGCTTGTTGATGGCTCCCAAAAACATCTGGTCGAGGTGCAACTTGCTAAGGGACATTTAAACAAACATTAGAAGAGGTGTATGTACATATCTGAGCCTGTATGTATACATTTGATCTGAAGTGAATCAGAGAAAATCCAAAATAAATCCAAACTTGTGTCCTCAATTATTGTTTTGTAAAGTCATTCATAGATCCACTGTACAATCGTTCCACTCTGGAAAAAGAACAATTCAAAAAATAAATGGAGCCCCAAATTACCATGACATTCATACTTCATACAAGTGTACGTAAACTTTTGACTACAGCTGTATATAATGGGAAAGACATTCCAGGAATGGGTCTTTATTTAAATATTTCCTGTTCTCTGACTTGGACATATAATGTTAATATCAAATGTTCAGGAATCTAGTCAGTGCAGCATTTTGGCATTGCTCCTCTACAACTTGGATATAAAGGACTAGCAATAAAAAAGAGCCCACCTGTAAGGTTTTAAACTTTTGGTTATGTTATGGTTTTCTGTTGACATTTATAGCACCACCGCCACAAACCAAATGAACTGAAAAGGTGTCTTTGGGGCTCCTGTTGCTGTAAATGTTTGCTTTTGTTATGCTGGACACAACAGGAAAGAGTCTATGTACAGAGCTACCTCTTGCAGTTTCTTCCTGTGCACCCATTGCTCTCGCTGTCCGATGGCACTATAGTAGCCACTCGTCTCACCTATTGTCCTTACCCAGCCATTGTGCTTTGAGTTGCTCTTTCAATTTACTTCCACTTTATCAAGCTAACCCAACTGGGTGTCTCAGCAAATACAACAAGCGTCATGGCTACAAACTGGGCTCCACAGTTAAAACGACTAACCAAACAACACCTAATCTCTGCTTTGGCCATGTGTGCCCATCCTGTCTGCACACTATCATTACTCAGGACAAGGCCAACACTTCAAAGCTCACGTCTTCTATAGGTCACTGTGCTCACAGATGAGGAAGGTCATGGCCGCTGCATGCATGTCATTGTTCAGGCACATTCTTTAGTTCACTAAAATATTCAAATTTTGGAACAATTTTAACATCTATTGTGAATCTTTTGGTGAGTGAGTGCTGTAATGTTACATTTAGTGTAGCAGGTATAGAACAGCACGCGTGTCACACTTAAAGAGGGATTTTGTATAATTTACAAATAGCAGACCCTCTAAAAACTGTAATTTAAGAACGCAAAACTCTGCACTGTTAATCAAACACTGGCAGTGTTCTTTTGCCAGCCTTGTGTAGCACACAGGCTGTGCTCTCTATGAACCTACTGGACTTATTTTTATTCATGTGGAAACAGTTGTGTCTAATTACAGTCATGCCTACTTTGGATCACCTGCAGCTCACAAGATTCTGGGACAACGTTAATCCACCTGTGGCGAGAATTTCCCTATGCCGTTTAATCCCGGCATTTCCTGAAGAACAACCTCAGCAAGAAAACGATTAGAGGACTTTAAAAACCGTCTTAGGTAAAACCTAAAACGACTTGTATGCATACATGCATACACAATTACATGCTGTTTTTTCTCTGCTTAAATTTTGTTTGTTTGTATCAACATTGCGGCAGCTTTGTGTGGTCATGTGTGTCACAGATAAAAACAAGCTTTTAGGTCACTGTTGCTTATGCTAATGAGAATTACAAACGCCCTGACAAACCTTTGCTGAAAGTAGTCTGGCAGTTTGAGTTCCAGTTTTCTCCAAACCTGCACTGTAAACTGACTACAACTAAAAGTTATACACTCCTTGGCCACTTCATTAGGTACAAACCTAACTGCTGATACAAGGCAGGATGGATCCATGCTTTCGTGTTGTTTAAGGCCATTTTTTCGTTTACGCCAAATGGTTATCCTACCATCAAAATGCAGCAGAAATCAAAACTTAGGCAATCTTCTCTTGTCTAATTTTGGTGAAAACTGTAGGCTCAGTTTCCTGTTCTTAGCTGACAGAAGTAACACCCAGTGTGGCTGTAGTCCATCTGTTTACTTTTGATATCTTGTGCATTCAGACATGCTCATCTGCATATCTTGGTTGTAAAGAGTTGTCATTTTTCCATTTGCATTACTTTTGCATTCCTATCAGCTCGAAGCAGTCTGCCCATTCTCCTCTGACATCAAGAAGATACTTTCATCCAGAGAATTACCACTTGCAAAAGTCTTTTGAGCCACCCTTAATTTCTTTATATTTTACTAGGCAAACAGGAGTTCTACCAAGCTTAAAAGTCAATACTTGGTGTGACCACTTTATTCTTCAACACAGCTTGGACTCTCTTAGGCAAGCTTCGTTCTAACTTCTTTATGCGGCCTTCTGGACAAGTTTGGTAGTCTTCAGGCTTCTTGAAGGCATTTAAAGCTCTTCCTTGGAGGTTTCTGCCTTTTGTAGCATTCTCTGTCAAGATGATCCCACAATGCTTCGATAAGGAGGATATCTTTGTGGTTTTTTTATCTATGCTTTTACAACATTAGCAGTGTGTTTGGGATCACTGACATGGGGAAAAACAAAGTGGATGCAAACCTGAAACTTTCCAGATGGTATTGCATGGTGGATCAAAATCACTTTGAACCATGACATAGCTTTTACCGTGTTTTACAGATGGCTGCAGAGAGTCACTGTTGTACCTTTTCCTGACAATATGTACAGAGGACATCATATTGATAATCTCCTTTAAAACCAGAAATCTTTTGTATAATATGGCATAACAAATTACCTGCCTTTTCTCCCCATTTCCTTTTCTTAAGAACGGCCTCTTGACGGCCTCCCTTTCACTAAGACATGATGAGGCCCCAGCGAACAGTAGATGGAGCAACTGACGCGTCAGATGTATCTCTCAGGTCCTATGTCAGGTCTTTGCTGTATTTCTTATGGAAATTACTTTCACAAATTATTAATTTCTGCTTGTAGTTTTTTTTTTTTTTTTTTAAACTGCCACTGTTTTTTCTCCTCATTTTTTAAGGACACACTGCATGCCATAATATATGCCAAGTTTTCAGCTAATAGCTGTTTGTGAATCACCTTGATGCAAAAGTGCAATTTCATGATTGTCAGT